GCTCGCTGGGGCCCAGCCGCCCCGCGGCTGCCCTGACTCAGAGCCCTCAGGCTGACCCGAGGGTACTGGGCGGCAGAACCGCCTGCCACCTGAGTCACTGTCCTCAATGAGACTGCTGGAAAGGATGCACACGTTTTGAAGTCTAGCAATTTACAAAACCTGAGTTCCTGTGGTCCTGCCCTGTAATTAACAATCCCCACTGCCAGGTGTGTCCTCAAGGCCATAGCCGTGGGCATCTTTTAGTCACAAAAAAGCAATATGAGAAACAAGTGAGTGTCACATCCCATCTGGAAGGCCCTCATGACGTTCAACCCCTTCTGCTGATAAAAAGACAACAACAACAACAACAACAAAACTTACCCAGAAATATATGAGCAAGTGGACAAGATGACACACAAGAAAGACCAAGATCTGGCACTGAGGTGTGACACTGACCCTATTTAAATAAAACACGTAAAATCATAGTTTTCTTTTATCCAAAGCAGTGTTGGTTTTTTTTAAGATTTATTTATTTATTTGAAAGTTGGAGTTACAGAGAGAGAGGAAGAGACAGAGAGAAAGAGAGCGAGCGAGCGCTTCCATATACTGGTTCACTCCCCAAATGGCCACAGCAGCTGGGACTGGGCCAGGCTGAAGCCAGGAGCCAGGAGCTTCATATGAGTCTCCCATGTGGGTACAGGGGCCCAAGCACTTAAGCCATCTTTCGCTGCTTTCCCAGGCACATTAGCAGGGAGCTAGATTGGAAGTGGGAGCAGGTGGGTCTCGAAATGGTGCCCATATGGGCTGCCAGTGTCGAAAGTGGTGGCTCTACCTGATAAGCCACAATGCTGGCCCCAAAGCAATGTTTCTGGAGCACACAGAACTTGGGACTTGGGATGGCAGCACAGTGAAGTAAAGACTGCAGCAGCCGGACCCTGCTAACCCTAGATGGGGTCTGTCGCAACTCCCATTCCTCGTCTTGGAACCTCCTCCATCGGGTTGCAGGCTCCAAGACAAGGAGACGGGCACTGCAGCAGACCCCACCTAGTGTCATTTTGTCTGACAAGCTCCTGGTGTTCATGGTATGGGCCCTAAGGAGGGGCCACGAATGGCTTTGTGACTGCACAGCCCACACATGTATGCACCTCATGCAAGAACACACACTGGCATGCACATATATGTGCATGTATGCACACAGCCTGCACTGTACACAGCCCACATGAATGTACCCTGTCCATGTACATACACAGGCTCCCTTCAATTTGGCTTATCCCTGCTGTTTCGGGCTTATGGGGAGTGAACCAGAAGATGGGAGATGTCTCTCTGAATCTCAGAGAAAAACGAAAATAATTATTCTATGTGGTGATCGTTTAAAAATAAATTTACTTTGGGGTTCTGGCTTTGTCCCTGTGTAAACAGTAGCTTGAGTCCCCCGATGGACGGAACTGGAGTGGACAGGAATGTGATTTAGAGTCAGAGCGGGAGTTGAACACAAGCCCCTCAGGAACACTGCCTTCATGCTGTCTCCTCAGCTATGGGTGCTGATGACCTACAGTGCTGGCCAGAGAGGCCCACAGCCATGGCTGTGGGAACAATGCTGCAGGCCAGAGCCCACACACACGCTTCACCCTCTGGGCTCTGTGTGTGCATCCGGGCACAGAGCAGCTGCTTTCTCTGCCGTCAAGGTGTCAGCCGGGCTCCTCCTATGGAGACCTGGGTGGGAGGGGCCACGTGACTCTCAGCGCAGGCAGTGGCTGGCACTGTCCCTGGGCCCTGAGGGCTATCCTGGGCTCCTCATGTGGCTGCTGGATTGTGAGTCCTCAAGGAGAGACTGCCTGTGCACCTGTGCTGCATGTTGGGGCCTGGACATTCCCTGTTCCTGGGGTGACTCGGCCCCTTCACCATGTTCTAGTTCAGAAGACCCAGGCCGGCCACCCTGGGGGGAACAGACCGCTCCAGGTACAGATGTGGGGCTGCTGGGTTCTGTGCACCTGAGGGGCTTGAGTAGGGTAGCCCCAGGGACTCAGCAGTCAGAAAGTAGGACTCATGTGTGACTGGGTGCTCACGGTTCTTTCTCAAAGTGGGGGCACAAAGCAGGGTGAGCCTGTGATATGGGAGGAGCCATTGCTGACCTGCGCAGGGGCTGGGGGCGGGCGCTCCTGTGCCAGGCAGGCCCTCGATTGGTGTGGGCTCAGAGACACCCCCAGGCACACTAGCTGGCGACTCACTCTTCACAGGACAGGTGAGGGCGTCTGTGAGGCTGCTCCGTGAAGGGTCCACTGTGAGAGAGAACACCGTGGTCTGCGAGCACTGGCCCCGCTCCGAGCTGCCCAGCCTCTGGCTGCCTTTGTCTTTGCGACACTGACCAGGATGCCAGTGAGGATATTGCCCGTGCACTGTGCATCCCACCCAGGAGTGAGGAGCCACTTTGCCCTCCATGTGGGTACCTAGGAGCGAGGAATCTTGTTGCATTTCCCTTATGAACATCCAAGGTATCTTTTAAATTTTATTTGCTAACGTTTTGTTGCTGGCATGTAGAAGGAAGATGGTGTTTTGTGTTGGCCTTCATCCAGTGTCTCGATAGATTCGGTTAATTTTTAAACTTACCTGTATACTTTGTTGAATTTCTGCACACATGATCATGCCACCTTTGCATCGAGGTGGGTTTATTACATCCATTTCCAAGCCTTACTTCTTGTTTTGTCCCCTGGCTGGGCTCCAGGCCAACGTTAACCATGGGTGGTGGGGTGCACTCTCTAGTCTCAGCCGTCATCCTGGGGATGGGCCATATCAAGGTGCCACTGCCATGTGCGACTGTGTGGGCTTCACGATGTCCTCTCCTGTTCTCAGGAAGTCTCCTTTGATTCCTCATTGACCACACCTTTTTGGCTGTTGTGTTGTGAGTTTACATTTCACTTTATCAAGTACTTTTCCTGCTTCCATCAATATAATCTCCTTCACTCTATTAACATGGTGAGTTACCTGGATTTATCTTAGAATGCTCCAGCATTTCATATCCTTGATTTTTGTCTGCCTTTTCTATTGGTTACTAAGAGATGCACTTTAAAACTTTATAATTCAGGTGTTGCCCAATACCCTTTGCTATTCTTAAAATGCATGCTGTATGCATTTTGAGGTTATGTTATTAGGAGCATATGCTATTAAAATTGTTGTGTTAAACTATGGCTCAAAGTTTTGTTATTAAATGTTTTTCTTTACCCTGGTCTTGTTTTGTGCCTTGGAGTCCACTTTGTTTGCTATTGGTACAACTAAACCAAATTTATTTTGCATGGTTGGTATTTTTACATATTATTCCTTCTAAACATTTGTGTCACTATGTTGAAAGCATGTCTTTTGTAAACCACATACAACTGGATTGTTTTCATTTTTTAAATTTTGTATGCATTATAAAATATGATTATTTTATGCACTGTGACTATTTTTTACTTCAAATTTGAGAGTCTAAGTAACATATCTACCACAATTACTGGTATATTTAAATCTATCATATTTTTGTTCACTATTTGTGTTTCCTCCTATATTACTTTTCTTCTCTTTTCTTATTTGGTTTGAGTTTGTTTTTCTCCCCTCTATAAGCTTGTTAAATATGGACATCTGATTCCTGTTCTTTGAATGATTTCGTGCTGACTCTGCTGAAGGTATTCTTATTAAAATCTAATGCCAGCCAACTAACACAAGCATCTTGTAATACTGTGACTCATTTATCAAGCTTTCTTGCTTTTCTCCACCTCTTTTTTTAAAACTAACGTTGCATATCTCTCTATACATTTATATCTACACTGATATATATCTGCATGGAGAGTTATATATGAGGAAATATCACGAAGTTCATGGACAAATGTAATTAGGAGAAAAATATACACAAACCCCATCATGTTGAAGATATTTTTTGTAAGCAATGGTACCAGCTGTTGAGTCCTGGGAATGCAACTGTGTCACTGCCGTCTCTTACATTACTAGTGAACAAACACCGGTGCCCTTTAGCTCTTTAAGACAGGAAACCAAGTTGTAATGTACCAATTTCTCGCCAAGACTCGGTGAGAGGAAGGAGCAGGGCCACCGTGTGGTGCAGAAGGACCCTCTGGGGATGCCTTCCTGGGTGTTTTTCTGATAAATCTTTGGTGGCCTCTCAGAACACCCTTCCAACAAGCAGACCACAACATACTTTGCCCCTCAAGCACAACGTATCAAGCATGCCAAAAGCCTGTGCCAGGAGCTCTGCCCTGGCCCGGTCCACTTTTGCTTTGGTGTGACCATGTTCCTGTCCTGGGGCTTTGCCCTGACCGTGCACTGTCTTCAGGATCCTGCTGGGGAAGCCTGTTTCACCCCTGTGCTGACTTCCAGGAAACACCTCAGGAGCCTGAGGGCACTTGTTCCCGACCACTGGAAGCTCTGCTGCAGCTTCGGCTTCAGCATCGTCCTGTCCTGCCTCAGCTGAGTTCTCCATTCGCAAACTTCCAACCTCTTCGGGGCACCGTCCCACACACGTTTCATAAGGCGTCAAAGGTCTCGCCATGCTTCACGCCCAGCCTCTCCATCCCGAGTCCGTTCTTGCTCTCGCTTCAGCAGAGGTGTTGCTTGGACAGGGGCTCTCTCGAGCTGCTGCTCGTCCTTCTCAGGGCCTCACCCTGGATCTCGCGCTAGAACAAATCAGTGTGGATTGATTTTGGCAAAAATATTTTGAATTTCTTAAGTATTTTCCCCATAATAACCACTTTCCACGAACTTTTTGAAGACCTCGCGTGTGTATGATTATGAATGTATGTATTTATACAGAGAGGCATTCAATACAACCCACGTGACATGATCATTGTCACATGGAGTCAATATTTAATCCGAACTAGATACTTAAAATTCTGCGACTCTCTGATTCAATTGGATTTATCTTCCTTTATTGGAAGGATTGATTTCCTTTAGTGTTTTTTTCGGTGTGATTTTTCTGTGAAACAGCCTCATGGTTTGGTGGTTGTTTTCTGTCAAAGTGTCTTTAATTCGATTTTCTTCCTTAAGGTTCTTTTCTCTGGGCACGGAGGCATGTCCTCAGCATTAGACTCTGTCAGTCACGGCAGCCTCGCCTCTCAGGACACTCCGCATGCTTTGTTTCCGCACCGCAAAGGGTGTCTTTGACCGCGCAACGGCTGAGGTAACGTGCCGACACCGGCGCCAGCTGACGTAACGCGCCCGCTTTTACGACAGAGGACGTAGCGCTCCGGCGTCTGCGTCACCTGGCTTAACGCAGCACCGGAGGTATGGTTTGCTTTTCCTGCTGAGGGTTGCGGGGCGTCGCAAGCCAACGCTTTGAAGCCATCCATAGGTTAGGAAAATGGAAGCCACTCTCTCTCACATTTCCTTTTCCCCGTTTGGGTCGCGCCTGGACATTTATCTCAATCTTAGGATTGGTGTCGGGCTCTGGATGGGTTGAACTTCGCTTGTGACGGACCCCTTGTGGGGGCTGGGCCCTCGTGTGACGGACACAGAGCGTGGCTCCTTGGGTGCTCCCTGCCCTCTGGGCTGCGGTTCCGGAGACCCTGGGAACGCCCCCACTGTCTGCAGGGACGGGACCCTGGGGTGGGACCAAACACGGGCCTGTGCCTTCGCTCTCTGGGAACAGAAGCCCCGCCGAGGTTCCATGTTCTCAGAGCAGAGGCTGCCTTGGGCAAGCGCCCGGCTGCCGGCCTCCTCGCTGGGCCGCCCTCTCAGGGCTGCTCGCGCCCAGGCCCGCGGCTGCACAGCGCCGAGCCCGGGGGGCCAGGCTGTGGAGTTGCCGAGCCGGGGGAGCCAGGCCCGCGGCTGCACAGCGCCGAGCCGGGGAGCCACGCTGTGGAGTTGCCGAGCCCAGCTTTGCAGGGGCCTGCAGCCTGGACCGCCCGAGCGAGCTGGGTGCTCTCTGCTCCACCCGCACGGGCTCGCCTTTCGAGACTGGAGGCTCCTCTGGCACACGTTCCCAGAGAACAGAGAAGTAGTGTCTCAGTGTAATCACCTACTTCTGCCTCGGATGTAAGCACCCATCGTGGAGAAAATGTGGCAGGGGCTCAGGTTGTCGTGACTGGCTAACTCCTGGCTGTGCTGCTCCCTCCCCATGGCAGTGGATTTGGGAAGTTGCCTGTGTTTTGTAAGAGAAGGTAGTAAAATGCCCTGGTTAGTGGAGCTACACTGGCGACTCCCAGCTTCCAGCCTGAGGACCAGCCCTGCCATGGGCAGCAGATGGGATGGGAATACGGCAGGTAGCTCAATTAGGGCCATGAGCTAGAAGCCACATCCCCTGCCTAGGTAATCCTATCCACCAGTCAGTCAAGCAGCCCCCATCCCAGGATGGATCTCGCTTCACCTGGGACCAGGGGCAGGAGGTGCCATGTAGCCATTCCTCATCTGAGCTTACAGAAGAGGCCAGCAACTGGGAGGAGCCTCTTTTCTCTCTTCTTTCTTGGAGACCTGGATGACAGGCAGCACTGAGCTGCCCTCTCTCTATTTCCCTCCCCGACCCCTTACCCTTCCTGGGCCTCTCTGCACCTCAGCTGTGCTGGTGTGTGTGTGTTTGCTTTCTCACCTTTCAAATAAACTACCACTTTGTGCACTGCATATGCCTGTACTTAGAATGCTTCTCTAAGTAGAAGGCAGGGGTCTGGAATAGAAATCCACACCCACCTCTCCCACCACATATTGGCAACCCAGCCAGGAGAAAATTCACTCAAGTGGAATTGAATCTGTCTCTTTCAGCACTATGCAGTTTTTCAATCCTGAAAATCTCTCCGTCCCCTAGTCTCTCTCCTTTCATAGTTCATGGATCGGGAAGGTCAGCTAATATGCAAATAGTGATGACTTTGGTGTGTTTGGTGTTTCTAATTTTGGTAGTTGCAGGAGAGGAAAGGCCAATACAAACTGCTAGAGTTAATGGGATTTGAGCAGAGAAACAGGAAGAGAGAGAGCCAGTTTGTGAATATTTGCCAATTTATAAGTGTTTCCTCATTGCTTGTAATGTGTATTTTTTAAAATACGTATTTACTTATTTGAAAGTCAGAATTACAGGGAGAGAGAGGGAGATCTTCCATCTGCTGGTTCACTCCCCAGATGGTTGCAACCACCAGTACTGGGCTAGGCTGAAGCCAGGAGCCAAGAGCTTCTTCCAGGTCTCCCACAAGGGTAGCAGGGCCCAAACTCCTGGGCCATCTTCCACCTTTTTCTAGGCCATTAGCAGAGAGCTGGATGGAAAGTAGAGCAGCCAGGACATGAACTGGCACCCATATAGAATGCCAGCATTGCAGGTGACGGCTTTACACACTATGCCACTGTGCCAGCCCCTATAATGTGTTTTTAAGGTTAATTATTATTATTATTTTATTTGACAGGCAGAGTTAGAGAGAGAGACAGAGAGAAAGGCCTTCCTTCTGTTGGTTCACCCCCAAATGGCCGCTATGGCCTGCATACTGCACCAATCCGAAGCCAGGAGCCAGGTACTTCCTCCTGGTCTCCCACGCAGGTGCAGGGGCGCAAGCATTTGGGCCATCCTCCACTGCCTTTCCGGGCCACAGCAGAGAGCTGGACTGGAAGAGGAGCAACTGGGACTAAAACCCAGGCGGAGGATTAACCAAGTGAGCCACGGTGCCGGCCCCTTAAGGTTAATTCTTATGATTGGACAAGGTGGTACATAGCATTCTGTTTTTGTAGACAGATTTCATGTGATCAATTTTGTGTATTAAAGTGGACAGCTTTTGATTTGCTAATGGAACAGGCTCTGTTACACATAGTCACTGAGATGGCAGCCCCTATGGGACTTTGACCCTTACCAGAGGATGGGCAATAGACTCTTCCCCCAAGATCGTGGCCCCCATAGCTGGTGCCACCTGCCTGGTCAGCAGCACTTTGATTGTTTTCAGCTTTATGCTGGTTTCTTCCACTCTGGAATGCACTCCAGATGTGGGATTTCGATGCCTCCTAGTCTAGATTTCCTAGCAATGGCAGTAAAAGGCTCTCAATCTTTGGGACACCAGGAAAGGCCCTGATTTATTTATTTATTTTTTTTGACAGGCAGAGTGGACAGTGAGAGAGAGAGACAGAGAGAAAGGTCTTCCTTTTGCCGTTGGTTCACCCTCCAGTGGCCGCCGCGGCCAGCGTGCTGCAGCCGGCGCACCGCGCTGATCCGATGGCAGGAGCCAGATACTTATCCTGGTCTCCCATGGGGTGCAGGGCCCAAGCACTTGGGCCATCCTCCACTGCACTCCCTGGCCACAGCAGAGAGCTGGCCTGGAAGAGGGGCAACTGGGACAGAATCCGGTGCCCCAACTGGGACTAGAACCCGGTGTGCCGGCGCTGCAAGGCGGAGGATTAGCCTTGTGAGCCGCGGCGCCGGCCAGGAAAGGCCCTGATTTAGATATCACAGGCACCAGTTGAATGCCTCCTCTGGTTGACTAGGAGCGCAGAGCTGGTGGTGCCTCCGAGGGCTACAAGTTTTAGGCAATGGCATTAAAAATCCCCTGAGAATTTTCAGGGTGGAAAAGCCCCAGGGTTCCCAGCAGGTTTCAACAATGTACTGAGGTTTATTTTGTTTGCTTGTTTTGATCATCCAGTAACTTTGCTGCCTTGAGTGAGGTGTTAACCTTCCAGATGTCTGTATCTTGCAATGGTGGTAGCAGCCCCCAAGCGAATTTGGGCACTGTGTAAATGCCCCAATTTTACATGTGTTTGCCTCTAGATGTGCTGGCACCTTTGCATTGGCAATACACCACCTGGAGACCACTTTATCCCAGGCATGGTGGGTTTGGTTACATAAGGGTCAATGAGTAAAAACCCAGATCAACTCTCAGGGAGTCCCCAGCAGACTGGTTACTACAGGGAGCACCCCAAAGGGCTGGATAAAACAGGGAACCTCACTATGAGTACAAAAAGAGATACCATGACACCAAATTACGTCTTCAAATCATATTCTTAAGCATTAACTAGGCTTATGGAGAACCATGTCTATTTTTGTCTTCTCAAGATCCATAGAGATTTTCAGCTGTATGATTCTTTGCTCATTCCCATAAAACTCACTTTTTAAAAAGATTTATTTATTTATAAGTCAGAATTACAGAAAGAGGGAGAGGGAAAGAGATATCTTCCATCTGCTAGTTCACTCCCCAAATGGCTGCAACAACCAGGACGGGGCCAGGCATAAGACAGGAGCCAGGAGCTTCTTCTGGGTCTCCTACATGGAGCCAAAGCACTTGGGTCATCCTCCGCTGCTTTCCCAGGCACATTATCAGGGAGCTGAATCAGAAGCGGAGCAGCCAGGACTTCAACTGGTGTCCATAAGGGATGCTGGCACTGCAGACGGTGGCTTAACCCCCTGTGCCACAGCGCCAGCCCCTGAACTCACTTCTTCTGGAATAGTTTCATAAACTGATCATGCGATCCCAAATTCTCATGACCTAGATGGTAACAATAGTATTTGAAGTGTTTAGTAATAATATAGATGGGGTTGAAGAGGAAAGGATGATCCAACATGAGACGCCACATAGACAGCAGGCTCATAAAATGGCAGTCACTGTACGTAACACTCAGTGACCTCAGAATCAATCCAAAAGGCATTCTGGTCTGGCTGAAAAGCCCACAGGAGAGCATTTCAGGTGTGGAAAGCCAGGACACTGGTGCGAGGAGTGTCCCTCCATGCAGGACCCCGATGGTCCATACGCCAATGCAAAGAAGTGGTCATCAAAGAGGAAATGTTCTCTTTTCCAAAAGGAGGGAGGAACTTCCACTTTGCCCATGGCCTTGTCTAAAGACCGATGGGGTCTTAGTGTTCAAGAGGCTTCCATAGCTTAGGCATCTCATGTCAAGAGCCTTGGGTGATCACTGACATCAAACATAAGAGTGACAATTTGTTAAATGAACAACTTCCCATGCACTAACTTCCCATGCAGGACCTCTGTCCTCAAAGAACTATACTATTCACTCTTGAAGATGTACTTTGCTGTTTAATGTGTCAGACAAGATATTCTTACAGCTCATCAGTTTTTAGCTATGTCTAAATGCCCAACTCATTTGCTTGGAAGGGAATTGCTGTCTTCCTGAAGTTAATTTCTCCTAAGTCTAAGTCATTTGTTATGTTTGCAAGTACTGAGATTCCAGTTTAGAAGATCTACCTGGTGAAATAAAAGATGCAGTAGATACTCAAGTTTGGGATAAGGGAATTCCTGGATGGACTACACATACTGTGCCTGTCAGAGTTTTCTTAAAAGATACAACTGCATTTCCTTATCAGTGTCAGTAACCCATAAAACTAGAAGCTGGATGGAGACCTTGACCATTGATTGACAAGTTCCACAAACATGGACTCTT